GACCCTTTCCTTACCCTTTCCCCTTAAAGTTGGATTTAGGCAGCGAGGACTCTTACACTAGGGGGCAGACAGATACTGCACTTGCTCCAATCTCCAGCAATTTTTTCCTCCCGGCATATGCTCCGATCGAGCACTGTAAATTTTTCAGGGAGACCCAACTCTGACAGCCCCTGGTGATTTTCAAAGTACCACAAGCCAGCGCTTAAAAATTGCCTTGACTTGGAAGTTGAGAGGCGCACAATGGAGGCCCCTTCTCCTATTCAGGGAGCTGCCGTGGGGTGGAAGGGAAAAACACACAGGAGGAGATTGAAGGGAAGGAGCAATTCAATGCATCGTGGTGGACAGGGCTGGCTTCTCCCGAGTTCAGAGTTAAACTCGGCGTTTGCTGGGGTCTGTGTGCATCTGGTGACCGAATCTGCGGTCAGGCCGCTTTCTGTAATGGAATCATATTCCTGGGTTGGGGTTCCCTTTGCTTGGCTTGGGATCCCCAGAGGAAGACAAATGTTTTCCCAACTTTCTCCCGGCCAAATGAAAGCTTGCCATCCCTCTCATTAAAATAAATTTACATCTGCAATAAAAGACTGGGCTGGATTTATTTTAATTTTTTCCAACGGTCACAATATATTGATGTTTATCGGTTAGTCTTAGAGCTGTTGTATTTCAGAGAAATGAGCATCTCTAAGTAAGACATTTTTAATTATTTCTCTTTTTCTCTTCTTCTCGGTCTGCAGTCCTTTCATACGGTAAAATTAACTGCAATTAATACTTTTTTTTGCTTTTTAATAGCATCTGCATAACTATGAATAGGTCCCAAAATACAGAGTAAAAACACTTCTGACTTCCTGGTAGCCCTGAGGTCCTGAGCCTGACAGGCTCCAGTTCTGCTGGGGACGGTGGGGAAATCTTCATTTTAAATCTGAGGCCATCAAACTGGACTTCAAACATCCAGTTTCTCTAACTGAACTGGGGAAGCCCATCCCCCTTAGAATTCCACCCCCTGCATGTGTGGAAAAGGTGGCTCTTGCTGTGGAAGTGTCTGTGCAAGAGGCGAGATTAAGATTCCCCCATCATCAATTATTCTATCTATTAAACCGAGATGGGAATGCCCATCAGATGTCCTAGTCAACCCCAGTCCCACCACAACTCTGCTGAATTTGCCCCAGATCCACTGACATTTGCAGCATTGGGCAATTTCTCAAATCCTAGAGGTTGAAAGGGGGGAAATATTTCCCTGGAATAATTCCTCTCCCATGCTGCTGGTCCCCCTCAGGAGAAAGTTACATTGTGCCTGTCATCAACCTGAAATTCGCAGCCTGCCTTGGCTCTGTGGCAATCTCATTACACACCAGGTTTAGGAGAGCTCACCGTCCACTGTAGGTTTGTGTTTGGTTTGGTTTTTTTTACAACTTTCAAGTCATCCCAGCACCTGCATCAAACAGCGAGAATTGCCCCCCACCTTCCAGAACATTCACTGTTTCGTGAACTGTGTGATTTCAGCCGGGAAAGGGTGAGAGCTAAGAGGTTTCAGAAATGAAGCGGAAAGAGGATATTTTTTTTTTCTTCCCTTAAAACTAGCCCCTATCTGCCTCCATCTCCACTCAGTCCCTACCCTGTGTTCTGCCTGTGTGTGCAAAGGGTATGGAATGCAAAATGCAATCTACACATGTCAGTTTCGTGTGTGGCGACTTCTTCTAAACAATTCTTCATCTTTTTAATTTTTTTTTAATGATCGAGGATGCTTTCTGGCGGTCGTCCCTTACTATTTCTGTGGGTCCACGTTTCCGGCAGCTCGGCGTGTTTCGTGTGAAATATTCTAATTGTTCATAAACCTGGTGGGCTGACCAATGTACAGCTTTTTTTCCTGGTGCAAAGTGTGTATGACGGAGTCACCATTTTCTTTCATTAATATGGAGCAACCATCATCCACTAACTTTTTCTAGTCACACAGAGAGGTGCATTGGAATAGTGTGTGTTCTGGGAGGTGGGGGGCAATTCTAGATGTTTGATGTTTAAAACCCAGCGCCCTGGAATTTAGAGACACAGTCCGTATGGATGATTTTAGCCCATGGAACAGAATGGCAGAGGCTGTGACGGTGGCCTTATTGCAGTCGATTTCTCGGGATAGAGTATGGCTGGTGTGTGGTTCTTGAGTTGTACTGGTCTTGTCCCCAATGTGGGGCAGAGTCCCTGGGTGTGTTTTAATGGCTATATGAACGCTTTTAAGGAAACTTCAGGAACAATGAAGTCCGCACTTCACTGTTCCACGACCCAGAAGTGCAAGTGACTGAAGTCTTTGTCTGTGTACGTTGACAAATGTGCATCTCATACATGTACACTTACATGTGTGTGCAGAGGGCACACACAGGGGAGGCTGGAGGCCGCCTCTGCTTGCCCAGCAGCGGGCAAACGTCGGTCTTTTCCCCTCTCGCCCTGACTGGGTGTGGGGACAGGATGTTGGCTTGCGAGTTCGTCAGAACTAAGGAGAGAGGATAAAGTTGAGGGAAATTTATTTTAATTGCGTCATGACAATGAGATGAAGTCTATTTCTGCTTCTCCGCATCCGAGATGCTTTATTTGAGCAATTAAAATGTCAGGCCACATACCTGTGAAATGTTAACCCTACAAGGAAAAGACAGGCTCTAAAGAGCTTTTTTCCCCCTCTTTTAAAAAAAAGAAAAAAGCCACCAAACCAAGCAAGTGATCGGAGTTGATTCAGAGAGGGGTCCACCGCCACCCGGATTTGGCCAAATCTTTCGTTTGGAAATTGCCCGCGAGCTGGGTACGCGGCGCCTGCCCACCCCCACCCACTACCCCTCTGCGGAGAATCGGGGGACTTTTCTCTCTCTCTCGGGCATCGCGGGCGCACAGATGCGCCGGGAGTCCCGGGTGGTGCGCGCGCGGCGCCTTTCGTGGCCTCGCCAAATTGCCAAGAGGCGAAGTCCTCGATCCCATCCCCAGCCGCTCGCGGAGCCTTTAAAGAGGCGTTTTGTCTGCGCGCCGCGCTCCCTCTCCGCGCCGGGGCGGAACCTCGGGTGCCGGGCGCGCGATGCGGGGGGTGCGCGGGGGGCCGCGCGCCCGGGGCCGCCCGGGCCCATCCC